TACTATTGTTTTAGAACAAAACAAATATTGCAGGGTAATTAAGAAATGCACCTGGAAGCACATGCTCCTACGTAAAATCCAACGGTATTCCGAATATAAAAGAGTTCAGAAAACCTGTACAAATCTGAATTCTCTATTCCACTATATTTCCTAAAAAAATCAAAGAGATAAACATATATATTTGCTTGCTGTGTAGAAGTGGAAATTTAGTTTTGTAAAGAACATTTTTTAGAATACGAAATGTTTTCCTGACCATCTAATTTTTAGTTTTTTTTGCGGGTAACCGTCTAAATTTTCTAACATGGGTATTTACAAGAATATAACAGACTAAAATAATCAAATGTTCTATCTTGGCGGAAACCATATGTGCGCGCAAAGCATCTTATTAGAATCACCGAGAATGATAACCAGCACAGTAATGTAATTGATATGTAATTTCTTTACTAAAGACTATAAAGTTTGCTAGCTACTGCATGTTCCTGGTGCACATGCTGAGGCATGACTATCTGATTAGCATACATAAGCATTCCTATGTCGGACACTGACTTCAGGCCATCCAGCTGCAAACGACCAAGAAGCCTCGCAAGCTATCGTCATTCCTGCAAGACAGCAACCCGCAGGATTATGCAGAATCCCGATCCCTCGCAATCCCAGAGACAAAATGAGCATTTGAAGCATCAGTATAACATCGTATATCCAATAGCTGCTAATCTCCAACTATACAGACGACAGTGCCGCCCGCTCCTATGCAATTCGCTTCTCATTGCAGGGGTCCTCACGACCCTTTATTTTTGTATATAGGTGCTGCACGACAAAAGGATTAAAGCCATCATTTATTTACATGTACTTCAAACTGGTAGCAGCTCAAAGGAACTGGACGACCCTTTAGTTTGATACATGTATGGTCTAAAAAGAAAAGAAAAAAAAAGTGTCTCGATAAATGGTGACTAAATTTGGCTTATGTGCATCGCTCCGGTCATTCTCGACAACTCCATATTTATTTGCAACTTTGCGCTCATGATCTTACCATATGGGCCAGGTCCAATTTCAGTGATGCCAAACTGCAATTCCACCTGGCCTGCGAGGTGATACTGCGGCTGGACGTTGCACAGGAAAAGCGTGCCCTCACTCCAGGTGAATTCAGCCTGCGGAAGCAGCTTAAGCAAAGAACCCTTGGTTTGGCTACGATCGAGAGAGCTCGCAAGAGGCAGGCCTCCCGGATCACCTGGCTCAAGGAGGGGGACGTTCGCTCTGCATTCTTTCAAGCAAAAATCAACTCATGCAAGCGGAAAAACTTCATTCACTCCCTGGAAGTGGACAATGCTGTGATCACCGCGCACGACGAAAAGGCTTCTATTGCTCACTCACATTTCTCCAACCTGCTGGGAAGAAAAGATGATAGAAAATGGACGTTCAATTGGGAGGAGCTGGACATGCCCACAGTTCAAAATGAGGGGCTTGACAACCCCTTCTCTGAAGCCGAAGTTTGGGCAGCAATCCTGGCGTCCCCGGCGGACCGAGCTCCTGGCCCAGACGGATTCTCGGGTATGTTTTTCAGATCGTGCTGGGGCACGATAAAGGAGGACGTCATGGCTTTGTTTCACCATCTTTACAGCCTCGCGGGTGGGAACTTCGCTGATTTGAACACGGCTATGATTGCCCTGCTCTCAAAGAAGGATGGTGCTGTCAAAATGGGCGATTTCCGGCCGATCAGCTTCATCCATTCTGTCGCCAAGCTGTTCTCAAAAGTCCTGTCCATTCGGCTAGCCAACGTCATCGACAAGCTCATCAGCCCAGCGCAAACAACATTTCAGAGGAGGAAGTGCATCCAAGACAGTTTTCTTTATGTGCAAAACACGGTCAGAAAATTGCAACGCAGCAAAACCCTGGCACTCTTGCTGAAGCTTGACATAGCCAAGGCTTTCGATTGCGTTTCTTGGGAATATTTGTTAGAATTGTTAGAGGTGCTGGGATTTCCTCCGCGATGGAGGGATTGGATTGCTCTCCTGTTATCGACGTCGTCCTCATCCTGCCTCCTAAACGGGGTGCCGGGGGACTGCATTGATCATCTTCGAGGGCTTAGGCAGGGAGATCCACTGTCGCCTCTGCTGTTTATCTTATGCATCGACACTCTCCACCGGCTACTAGAGGCGGCCACTTCGTCTGGTCTGCTGGCGGCGCCGCCGGCGGCAGCAGCTAGGATGCGCACAAGCTTGTACGCCGATGATGCTGTCATCTTCATCAACCCAGTGCGTGAAGACATTGACACCCTGCTAGGCCTACTGCGACAGTTCGGCGATGCTACGGGCCTGCTGGTCAATCTCTCCAAGTCCTCCGCGATCCCAATCCGCTGCAGCGACATCGACCTGGCCACGATTCTGGTGAACTTTGGAGGGACTACGGCCACGTTCCCGATCACATACCTAGGCCTGCCCATTACGATCGGAAGAATTAGGCTAGTTCAACTGCAGTTCATCCTTGATAGAATTAGGGCTAGGCTAGCCGGCTGGAAGGGTAGGCTAATGCCGCTGGCGGGTCGCCGCGTCCTAGTGCGCTGCGTTCTGTCAGCAATCCCAACCTTCGCGCTCACGGCTCTACGCGCACTGAAGAAGCTCTTCAAGGAAATCGACAAGTCGAGGAGGCGATTCCTCTGGGCACAGGACGACGAGATCTCAGGGGCAAAGTGCAAGGTGGGCTGGAAGACGGTGGCGACGCCGGAGCAGCAAGGCGGCCTGGGCATCCACGACCTATCCAGGTTCGCCCACGCGCTGCGTCTGCGGTGGCTATGGCTCGCCTGGCAACAGCCCAACCGACCTTGGGTCGGCACCGACACGCCTTGCGACAGCGGGGACGTGGCCCTGTTCGCGGCATGCACATCCGTTTCCATTGGAAATGGAACTTCTTCTTCCTTCTGGTCCTCTTCCTGGCTGGGAGGCCGGCAGCTTTGCTCGGCTTTCCCGGCGCTCTATGCTGCATCCATCAGGAAGAACCGATCGGTCCATGAGGCCTTGCAGGGTGACCGCTGGGTCCTCGATCTAAGGCATGCCAACAGTGGCAACATCGCCTGCCAAGTCGTCCAACTCGCTAGAGAGATCAGAAGCGTCGGCCTTGTCTTGGATGCACAGATGCCTGATTCAATTCGCTGGACGCAGCACAGCTCAGGGATGTTCTCCACCAAATCGGCCTACACCGCGCAATTCGCAGAGGGGCAGCTCGGTAGCTTTAGATGCCTGATTTGGAAGATCTGGGCACCGGGGAAGATCAAGATGTTCCTCTGGTTCCTCCACCAAGACAAGCTATGGTGCAATGACAGGCTGCAACGAAGGGGATGGACCAATTGTTATTTCTGCCCTCTGTGCATGAGAAACCTCGAGTCATCTTTCCACCTCTTCTGGGAGTGCCCAATCTCCCTGAAGGTTTGGAACCAAGCTGCGGCCTGGGCTGGTTGCCAGGCTCTAAACCCTGATGGATGGTGCAGCGAGACTACGTCGACGGGCTGTGCCGAAAGGATCATCACCACTGCAGCCCCGGGAAACCGCAAGGGCACCAAGTCGATGCTGGCTCTCATTGCGTGGCACATATGGTTGGAGAGAAACTCCTGTGTCTTCAGAGGGAAACAAGTTGACGAGCGGCACATCGTCGAGGCATGCCGCCGGGACATAGAGCAATGGCGCTTGGCAGGGGCCAAATGCATAGAGCAGTCCTTCGGGGACATGACGTGAAATATCGCCATAGCCACACCCTACTGGGAGCTCAGCGTTCCTAGTCACTGATTGTAATTTTCTCCCATTCACACAATCACTTGATCGGAACCCCTTTGTCGCTCCCTCCTGCTAAATCAATAAAACACCAGCCGCTAAAGCTGGTTTCTTCAAAAAAAAAATAGCAACTTTGCTAGAGGTCTCCACACGAGTAGCGACTCAATAAACCCCAAGCAGTTTGATACATGTATGCACTACAAATATAAATATAGACCTACAGTTTAGACCTCCAACGATGAACATTCCATTCAAAACAAAACTTGGATTTTGATTTTGTGCGACTTTCAGGGAAGTAGTGTGCATTTTACGTGCATTCGTTAGAGACTAGATATGAGTGTTTAATTTGTAGCAGATACTAGCATGTGGTAGAGCACGCAGTAGCAAATTGAGGAGATTCACCCTTGCAATTGAAAAAATCGAAAAGTAAAATTCTAAAATAAATCACCAAAGAAAATTAGAAAAACAATCCGTTCATTAACATGAAAAAAAATACATGTAGAAATTCAGGAATGGTCAAATAAATCTTGCATTCGGAAAAAAATCTAGACTAGGAAACAAATTATTCACGAGTGATGATGATAACGAAAGGGATTTGGAGAATTAATTAGACCTTTTTAGCGAGTATTAAAACACAATCAATCTTGATAGGGCAATACGCTTGAATCCAATGTTCTGTCACTTTCGTCAGCGCACATGCATCTCCGTTATTCAGTTAATGGAAAGGGGTTATGCCCGGTTCAAAAAAAAAAGCCCACATGCATTAGGAAGGACATTTCGATGTACCGGGAAGTATATTTCCTTGCAATCAGAAGAAAACTTCTTCACCATTTATTTTGATTTAGGAACCAAATTGTTCAATCAAAATGCTCTTAATTTCCATGTGTTAGGAAGCATATTCATGCAGTGTGTGGAATTTTTTAGAACAAAAATAAGTTTACATGGATCTGCCGGAATCAGTGTAGGAACGTTAAATGTGGGGATTACCGTCCATCTCGCTGTATTCGCTCCCAGCCGTGCGTTCAGTTCACCACCGCCACATCTCGTTTCCTTTCCTTTCTTCTTCACTACTAGACAATTTGATTCGTCGTTCCCTTGTTGTGTTCCTCCTAATTAAGGACAGCAAGGTTTGTATCTTCTCTCAGTTACGGGAGGTTTTGGATTGTTCAATCTTGTTTGAAGAAGTACTATCTTTGATCAATTGTAGTAGTTGCAGGGGAAGAAAGCAGAGAGGGGGGACAAATGGTGAAGATCTGCTGCATCGGCGCGGGCTACGTGGGTGGCCCGACGATGGCGGTGATCGCGCTCAAGTGCCCGGACGTGGAGGTGGTGGTGGTGGACATCTCCGAGGCGCGCATCGCCGGCTGGAACAGCGACCGCCTCCCCATCTACGAGCCCGGCCTGGACGACGTCGTCAAGCGCTGCCGCGGCCGCAACCTCTTCTTCAGCACCGACGTGGAGCGGTACGTGGGCGAGGCGGACGTCGTCTTCGTCTCCGTCAACACCCCCACCAAGACCCGCGGCCTCGGCGCCGGCAAGGCCGCCGACCTCACCTACTGGGAGAGCGCCGCGCGCATGATCGCCGACGTCTCCCGCTCCGACAAGATCGTGGTCGAGAAGTCCACCGTGCCCGTCAAGACCGCGGAGGCCATCGAGAAGATCCTCGCCCACAACGGCCGCGGCGTCCGCTACCAGATCCTGTCCAACCCGAAGTTCCTCGCCGAGGGCACCGCCGTGCGGGACCTCTTCGCGCCCGACCGCGTCCTCATCGGCGGCCGCGAGACCCCCGAGGGCCAGGCCGCCGTGAAGGTCCTCAAGGGCGTGTACGCGCGCTGGGTCCCCGAGGACCGCATCATCACCACCAACCTCTGGTCGGCCGAGCTGTCCAAGCTCGCCGCCAACGCCTTCCTCGCGCAGCGCATCTCCTCCGTCAACGCCATCTCCGCGCTGTGCGAGGCCACCGGCGCTGACGTCGCCGAGGTGGCCTGCTCCATCGGCAAGGACTCGCGCATCGGCCCGCGCTTCCTCTCCGCCAGCGTCGGCTTCGGCGGCTCCTGCTTCCAGAAGGACATCCTCAACCTCGTCTACATCTGCGAGTGCTACGGCCTCCCCGAGGTGGCAGAGTACTGGCGGCAGGTCATCGGCATCAACGACTACCAGAAGAGCCGCTTCGTCAACCGCGTCGTCTCCTCCATGTTCAACACCGTCGCGGGGAAGAAGGTGGCCGTGCTGGGGTTCGCCTTCAAGAAGGACACGGGCGACACGCGCGAGACGCCGGCCATCGACGTGTGCCGGGGCCTGCTCGGGGACAAGGCCGTCGTCAGCATCTACGACCCGCAGGTGACGGAGGAGCAGGTGCGGCGCGACCTCGCCATGAGAAAGTTCGACTGGGACCACCCGCGGCACCTGCAGCCCGTGGGCGAACCCGGCGATCAGCAGCCGGTCGCCGTCACGACGGACGCGTACGAGGCCGCCCGCGACGCGCACGCCGTCTGCATCCTGACCGAGTGGGAGGACTTCAGGAGCCTCGACTACAGGCGCATGTACGACGTCATGCAGAAGCCGGCTTTCGTCTTCGACGGCCGCAACATCGTCGACCCGGAGAAGCTCCGGGACATCGGATTCATCGTCTACGCCATTGGCAAGCCGCTTGATCAGTGGCTCAAGGACATGCCAGCCGTCGCCTGAAAGCCAATGCACACTCAAAGCCGCGCGTCGGCGAGCGTTCTTCTTGATTAATATAGAGTTTTGTAGTCCTCGTAAGCCACGTCAAAAGGAGTAGAATACTGGTTTTGCTATTGAGTAACTTGAGTTGTTTATATCCGGGAACTAAGCCTACTCCCTCCTTCCATCTATATAGGGCCTAATGCGTTTTTCAAGGCTAACTTTGACCAAATATTAGAGCTATAATATATGACATGCAACTTACACAAAGCACACCGTTAAATTCGTGTGTGAAAGGAGCTTTCAATGGTATAATTTTCACATTGTGCATGTCATGTACTATTAATCATGTCAATAGTCAAAGGCGGTCTTAAAAAATGCATTAGGCCCTATATAGATGGAAGGAGGGAGTAGCTTAGATGGTTAGATTCGTTGCGTATTTCTAAAAGAAAGTTTTTATATCTAACCCTTTTGTCTTTGTGTTGAAATTCAAATACGAAAGAAATATTACTCTTTTTGTTCTTAAATTTAAGTCTTTGTAGAAAATTCACTATTAACTACATACGAAATAAAATGTTTGAATCTACACTTTAAAATGCATCTACATACATTCGTATGTGGTTCATAATGAAACTCTACAAAGACTTATATATATTTAGAAACGGAGGGAGTATATTAGACCGTGCACATGAGGACCTTTATCTACATTTTTACTCGAACCCCATAGTGCCCGTGTGGAGGCGGCATGTTTTCATTTTGTTGGGCTTTTCTTGGGTCATGGTTTTTTTTCCACGTGGTTTCTGGACTGCTACCCGTTTTTGCCAATGTGATCACTGTGCCATTGAATTCCTGACGAGCAGTGATAGAAATGTGGTGGGCGGGGAGGCGATGGAGGGAGGCGAGCTGCTGGCAAACAACATGGAGGAGAAGGGGCGAGCTGTTAGCGAAGAGGTGAGGAATGGGAGAAGGGAGATGGAGGGATGGAAAGGAGGCCACTAATGGAGCGATGGTCCCTGGGGACGAAACCAACTGCCATCCCCGGCCGCGAGTAAGGTAGGGAGAGCTCGCCCTCTCTTCCCAGCCTGCTCAACACATATATGTTCTTCTCCGCCGGTCTTGTTCCGCGCCGCCGCGTACTGATTTCTTTTCCAATCACCTGTACTTGGTAATCCCCACCCCTGATGCTGTCGGGGATGAAACCATTTGGGGCAAAAGAATCACCACATCACCACCGTTGATGAGTTGCCCGAAGTCAAAGACGTGGAGGCCTAGTTGGGGTTGAACTGCCTCTCATCTGACTCACCAACCGACATGAATAGCCGGAGTTGACAATTCCATACCAGAGAATACAAGTATTTCGTGTGAAAGGCCGCTGCCAGCTGCCAAAAAGAGATCCTTCCGAAGCAAGGGGCACTCAGGGGGAGCCAAGGCTTCAGCACTCAGGGGGGCTCTCGAAGTCTTCATCTTCTGCCTTTCCACCTGTCCTCTTCTTCCACTACAACTAGAGAACCAAATCAACTAAATATGGGAATTCCAGATCTGAGATGGTGGCAAGTAGTGTCTCGGATCCCGCAAGAAAGCCAACTCCGGCTACCAATACTTGAGATCTGAACCAAAAACTACTTTATTTGAGAAGCTATCTAATCCAATATCCACACTATCAAGATCAAACCTCTCTCCCCGACCTCCTCGGCCATTGGAGGTGCCGAAAACAGGAGGGAGAGAGGTCGGGAGGGAAGAGAGTAGGGGAGGCTCAGAAGAAGCAGAACTGTAAACGCTCGCCCGGGCCAGTCTCTAGTCTCAAATGATTCTAAAATAGCACTCCCATTAAATGTCACTCGTTTCCTGCTAGTCAAAATGTGAATAGCTTGTAAGTTTTTTTGTATTCCCAAAATCACCCCCGTCAAAACTATCCATTGCCCAGCTGAAAAAAACTACCCCTAGCTCTGTCCCAGTCCGACCAGACCAATGTCCTTCTAGTCACCCCCTGCCAACCACAGCGGCGCGCGGAACCTCGTGGCGCTTGCGCTGGCCGGCTTGTGATTTTGTGAATGTAGGCTATAGGTCAAAAAATAATGAAAAAATACAAAAATATTTATTTTTGCAGGAATGCGTCTTATTAATCCATCTAATACAAAAAATGACATATACAGACACTTAACAACTGTTTTTAGAGTAGGAAAACATGTGTTCTTCATCAACATGATGACATGTAACAAAATATATTGTTTGGGAGCAAAAATGTGTCTAGTTGGGGCTTATTCGGCTAGAGTATATGTGGACAGAGGAAAACTTTACGTCTTTTGTACTACGATATCTACAAAAATAAAGGGCCACCAAGACCTTGCATAGCCATGAGAAGTGAATCTTATGACAATATATAGCTAGAGAATGTGATACATATATGAAACTCAATATTTGCATGAATGATAAGGTATTGATGTGTGGTGTTTGTGTATGATTAGTGGATATGATTGGTGTTATGCTCGAAATGATCACCTGGCTCCAGGGTTGAAGGTATTGAGATTTTGCGTAGTGTTAAAGAGTATAGGGCCCTTCCTCCTAGCTTTTCTACCGCTAAAATGACAATGGATAGGGGAACTATTTGGTTGGATGTAGCACGACTCCCTTAGATAATGGTCTATCCCATCAACTGTTATCCGTGCAGATGTGATGAAGTGTCATGGGTGATGGCTGTGGGATGCTCTCAAACTAGCACCAGCCAACACAGTGCAGCTTTGCCCACATCTAGTGGACGTTTCTGATCAGTTTAAGTTATCCCTCATGTATTTGACGGTAGATGGATTTGGTTTGCACTTACAACACCTTGGTTTAACACTTTAGCAAATAGCAACCACCCCGAACACACTCCACATACTCTCTCTCAGTCGTCGGCGCCCGTGCTCGGGATTTGGGACCTTCACCGAACAACTATAGTGATTCCTACTCAAGTCTCTGCTTCCCGGGCACATATCCGACGATGCCTCCTATAGGAGTTGTGTAGGGCCACCATGAAGCTTTCCGATGTCATTTCTTTTCAGGAAAAGTCAAAATTGAGCATGCACACACCTACACCCTTATTCCAACGTGGCTTCCTATGGATGCCTCCTATCTCTTTCTATTTCTTCTGTAAATTTTTTGTTGGTTTTATGTTCATGATGCCTTGTTGATCCGAAAACATGTTCAATGTTCTTGCTCCACTGGGATTCTATTTTGACTGTTGTTCACATATCAGGTCAATTTTTTCCTTGAAATCGCATAACACTTTTATCTTCCCCATCCCTCCCTCAATCTCTCAATCTGTTTTGCTTGTTACATACTTTGGATTCTCACTCTCCCTTTTCCACACACTGCATGAAGATATGCATTCTAACATATGGAAATTAAATTAAAAGCAATTTGCTTCCTAAATCATAATAAATGGTGAATAATTTTGCTTCCGGTTGCAAGGAAATATGCTTCCTGAATACATTGAAATTTCATTCCTAATGCATGTGCACTCATGGAAGTGACGAAATATTGGATTCAAGCGTATTGCTTTATGAAGTTTGATAATTCTTAGATCAATTTTCTTTTTAGATCTAAAAATGTAATTAATTCTCCAAATCCCTTTCTTTGTCATACCATCCGTGAGTAATTTTTTTGGTAGTCTCAAAAATTCCCTAAGGCAAGAGTTTAATTAATTTTTCCTAAATCCCCACATGGGTTTTGTTCAATTTGCTTCATGTTCATGTATGCCAATGAACAAATATGTTTGGTTGATAATTTCAGAGGGAGAGAGAGAGAGAGAGAGAGAGAGAGAGATGTTCATGTTCATCAACAAATTCTTTTGCTAAAATTCTTTGGCGAATTCTTTTAAAAAATTTATTTTCAATTTTATTAGTTGCAAGGGCAAATCCCCTCAATCTTGTACTACGTGCTCTACTACATGCTAGTACTACAAACACTCATATCTAGTCTCCTCACGCATGCACGTACAATGCAGACTACTTCCTTGAACGTTGCACAAAATCAAATCCAAGTTTTGTTTTGAACGGAATAGTCATTGATTGATGGTCTAGAAAACAGACCTATATTTTTAGTGCATAAATGAGGCAAACTACTTGGGGTTTATTGAGTTGCTACTCATGTGGAGATCAAGTTATCCTGAATGGCCTAGGTCTTTATGAACACTCTCCGTGAGGGAGATGTGGTTATTCATGCGGGGAGCGATGCTGATGCACATGGCGAGAACCTTGGCCACAATCTTCGCACTGGTATTTGCAACCGATGTCAGATAAAGTGGTGTCTTCTGTCTGTCTTTCAGTTTTAGGAAGCAGAAGCCAGATTTAGCCACTAAACTTTCATTTCTACACAACAAGCAAATGTATATGTTTTTATCTCCATGAAAAAAATGCAAGTATAGTGGAATAGAGAATTCACATTTGTGCACATTTTCGGAACCTTTTATATTCAGAATACAGTTGGTTTTACGTAGGAGCATGTGCTTCTAGGTGCATTTCTTAATCACCATGCTTTTTTTTTTGTTCTAACACAATAGTTAGTAGCCATATACTTCATCAATATAGCAACTACATTATGGCCTCTATTTTAATTGAAAAATAGGTATTTTCATCAATATAACAACATGTATCAAACTACCTGCGCCTTATTGAGCTGCTAAAAATGCTAGACGAACGTAATGGGCTACGGAAAAACTACGTGCCTCTCCCTCCTCAACTGAATTTCATGGGGTGGGGCCCGGACCTTTTCTTCTTCCAACCATATCGTGCCAAGTCAGCTCACATGTACGCTACTTTAGGATATGCATGTAGATATAGCAAAGCTCTTGAGCTACTAGCCTGCTAGCTACTATCAGTGTGGAATAAATGTAAATAAAGAAAAAGCTTCAAGTCCTATGTACTACAGTACCTATGGAAATAAAGGGCCATGAAGACCCCTGCATAGCCATGCGAAGCATATAAGTGTCAATATATAGAGTGTGAGACATTTTTTTTCGAAAAGGGGGGACTCCCCGGCCTCTG